TATGAGAGTATTTCTTTTTGATAAAYCATAAAGTAACATTGAGGGAAAAGAGAACGGGAAAAGAAAAGGAAAGGAGTGGGAAAAGAAATGAAAAGTTGATGAGAAAATTAGTATTTTGAAATTTGTGAAAGGGGAGACAAAAAAATTGATAATTTGTGAAATTATTTAAAATATCGATTAACATGTTTTCTAAGTTTAAGTTATTTTTTCATTGATTGAAGGACGATAGGTAGTATCATAACAACCTTACAGGGCCTGGTTGTCGAGGGTGTTGAGCGTTGTCTGAACGATAATGCTTATTATAGTGGATAAATGTATTGGATAGGATTATCCACTTGGTAAGGATTCCTTCGTACAAACAGACCCTGAACAATAAGTGAATGGGAAAAGGAATGGGAATACAAATGGGAAAAGAAATGATGGCTGAATGGGTGGGATTACAAATCCTAAGTTGTGTCAGGGTACAGTTTAATCAATTCTACTACAAACATTGACTCATCCACCCCTCTCTAAAAGGAAAGAGGGAGTTTTGTAAACAGAAATTTACTGGTCATTTGAAACCTACCTGAGAAAATTAAATACACTGTACAAATATTTCTAGATCACCTCCCCAACGGCAATTTATAAAATTTATAATAGTTTTTAACAGTTAATGTGTAGTTCCAGAAATTATTCATCCCCCATTCACAGAGGAATTAGTTGAAAATACCTTTTACCCCCAGAAATTCCCATTTTCTTCCAAGCAAACTCTGTAATTGTAATTCTGTAATAAATACACTGTTCTTTCTCTGCCTTGGAAATTCCAAATTCCTCTGTGGGGCAGGTATAGATAATTTCTGGAACTACACAGTTTTCAATAGTGCAAGCCATATATTCATGAAACAAAGCAAAAGATGTAATGTTTAATTGCTGCAATTTTGCTGCTTTTTAATAGTGGACATCATTGGAGCATAACATTGGGAACAAAAGCAAATATCCCTACACATTTTTGTTTGACTTATGCCTGATTTGATTACTAAATAGTTGATAACTAAATGCTATTTTGCACCAAATAGTAATTATTTCCCAGATATATGGCGTGCATTCTAACCTACAGTATAACACTCTTATTTCACCCAAAGCATATTTTTGCTCCACTATTTTAAATATTCTTCCAAATATTCATCAACAGGCAAGTACTTGGTTGTATATTGTTTGGCTTGCTTTAATTCACAACTCTCTTATTATATCATTATTAATATTATACACTCAATTCATCATACAAAATATCTGTACAATATTCCATACTCTTTCTCTCTCTCTTATACTACATAAAACACCTCTTATGAGGTGAGGCATTATCTTTATCTATGCATTCATGTGCCATAAAAAAGAAGGGCAAAAACAAATCAAAATGCTTAATGGCTGAAAATTTAGGAATGACTTGCTCAGGAAACAGGGAGAGTAGATACCATATATCAGTGAAAAAGTTCATAAGAAACTGCACACATTTGCACAAATTAGTAAGTTCAGTAGACCTACAAAACTTTGCACTAATTTGTACGAATAGACCAGTTTCGAATTCCAAATTACCGCTGCGTTCCTTGATTACAGACTCATTTGCACAGGGTTAGCCTYGCATCAGTGTTTAAATATTCACAAATACCCAACAGAAAAGTAAAGAGTGCACAACTTCAACAATACAAACACTTTGAAACTCGACGGACCTTGACTGGAAAACGTGAATATTCTGCACAAATTCGAGGCTAACCCTGTGCAAATGAGTCCGTAATCAAGGAACACAGCGGTAATTTAGAATTCGAAACTGGTCTTTTGGTTAGATACCTTTCTCATGGTTATAAGGTACGCACTCAAGTAAATTTATAATTTTAGTAAAAACATGAATTAGCATTAGTTAGCTCAAGCATTACTTGGTGTTCATAACTARATAGGTATGATATTCTTTGTATCATAACACTATCGGAATATAATTTTTTTTCTAACATACAGATGAAAACAATGGTTGTCTTGGAACATGAAAAACAAACATGCAGTCACAAGTTTATGTGTTGAAATGGGACTGTTGGGTCAGAAGGAATAGGTTCTGCTGCATGTACCGACAGGGCAGAAAAACAGTTTTTAGCCTTTCACTATAAGGACAGCTTTAAGTATTTAAGCTCAATATTTTGTAAACACGTTCTTTTGAAGCCAAATAGCAATGAGACCAAAATTTATTGAATGTGTATTTGAGATATAAAGCTGTGTACTTTGGGAGAGGTGATATTTTGATCAGCAGAAAAACTGACATTTTCGTGAATACTAAGTTGATTTACTCTAATAATACAACAAAATTCCGTCACAAGTTTCGAGCAGCAATGACACAAATGAAATGCTTAAAAATTTGGAGTATTAAATTCAGTTAAATAAAAAAAAAAGTGAAAGTAGCGGGCTTGTCATTTTTCTGCCCTGTCGCATGTACCACAAACCTAATGAATTCTGTGTTAGCTTCGTTCTATTGTAGAACTTTGGGTTTATTGCTGTTTCTATTGAATTAGGTAAACTGTTTCCTGTACTCCAAGGTTAGGAGTCAAAAAAGAGTACAGCTATAGAATAGATAGATCTACTGAAATACTTAATAAGTTTCTCATGTCAACTAAGAAACAGAACTTTCCCAAATTTGCTTGAACGACCATGAAAATAAATAATGGTTCCAAATGAAAATCGGACTTGATGTGTACATACATTTACAGTATCTCATTAAGTCCAACCTTGATAGGAACCAATGTTTTGTGGTCACTAAAGTGGAATCTGGAAATATCTATTGGTTAATAGTAGTGTCAGACTTATTATTTTTTGTTTTAAAAAATATTTCCTGCAAATAATCTTTCATTTTGAAAATCATTTTTCTCGTACTGTAATCCAATACATTCCATGTTAAAACTGAGCAAATATCAACCATCAAACCACTGTACTTTGTTATTTCTATGCAAGAAACAAATGCTAAATAAAAACATGCTTGCACATTATGATAAAATAATAATTATTATAATTGTTATTAGTAATAATAATCTTTATTAATTACAGAGATTGTCACTATACTTGTATCTTGACCATGCCCTGCATTGTAGGACTTGCGTAATTACCTCTTGCTACTCTGCTAGTCCTGTGTAAATAAAGAAACAAAGTTCTCTTTACTACAGGAGCTTTTAAGCGTGACGTCAATCAGGGGTTAAAATATGGCTGGTCTTAAAGGTCTTAAAGATATTAAAATGTTCAAACCTTTACAGTAAAACCACTCAGTGGGCTCATGATTTCCTAGTTTTGAACATTTTAAGATGTCATATATATTTAATGAAATGACAGTCAATAGAAATCTATGAGGAATTTTTTAGGTACACATGCATAGTACTTAACTTACTCAGACTAACCTTGGCGAATCAGCTGGGCTGTTGGATCCCGTTGACCCTCTYACCCCATGTGGTTGTTCTTTAACAAAGTTTCTACATGAGGCAAGCTTAGATTCCAATGCCTGAAACAACAACACCAGAAACAAAGGTCAAGCAAATAGTTTGGTTACCATGCATTATGACATGAATATAATGAGGTATGACCTCTACTGCTATCAGATATGTTCATGTAAAAAAAAAAAAAGAAAAAAAAATTTTTTTTAATAAAAAATGTAAACCTTATATTCATTCAACCATTCATCTTAATTTCCATCTATATTTTAATTTTTTCATTATTATAATAAATAAGATTTATTTAATATTAAAAGCAGGTTGGGCTGCTTCTAAGTTAGAGGAAAGGAGGCAAGGTGTCTGGAGATACACATTTACCATCTCACATAAACAAGCCCCCCCCTTCTCCACTTAATGTAAGGCAAAATCTAAAGAGGACGCTATATGATGTTTTTTAGCATCTACCCCACCTATCCCTGTTTAATCTGTCACTGCTCACCCCTCATAATCCATTGCCAGTCCAGAACAGCATAAACACTGTATACTCACCCCAACTTTTCTTAATAAATCTCCAACAATATTGAGTGCAGATATCCTTGCAGATGGAGTTAGGGGTGAACTTCCATATGCRGTATGAAGAGGGGAGGTACCAATATTGTGCGTGGCCAAATTTGTAGTTGTTTCTATAGCAGCTTCTTTCTTAATTGGTGTAATATTTTTGTCTGGTTCTTTATTTTCTTTACCAAAATCTTCTGGTTTTTTCTTTTCTAATTGTCGCACATGTAGTTCTTGTCTTAGATCTGTGGAAAATTAGTTATTATAGTTATTTTCGGTCCTTGTCAAATTTGTCTTAAATATTTTAGATACTTTTGTCCGAGTTGCCYYGAACGTTTTTCATTTCCCTGAGGATGGCCRAGTAGGCCGAAAGCTCGGAACATATTTATTGAATTAATGGTTGATAAAGCAAACTATTATGAATGTAACAGCAATCAACAAGGAACTAATTGATTTAATCATTGAGTTTTTTAATTATTTTTCCCCTTAAATGGATGGCCAATGTTTTATCATAAATATGGATTAGGGACAATTATTATTATCACATGAATTCAAGAAAATGCACTATGTATTTATTTTATTTTATTATATGGCACGCACTACATCTGTTAAAATCATGTGCTCTGGTTGGTTCCTTGGTGAGCATAATTTTCCATTCCCTAATGATAGCAATAAATCTAACAATAGACCTGCCAAAGATTTATGATTTTGTTGTCACATGGATGTTGCTATAGAAACAACATGATGCTCAACGGCTCAGTGCCATACCAACGTACCTCTAGCTTCATCTTTTAGTCTTTGTACAGTTTCTTGTAAAGTCTCTTTTTCATCTAGTTCATTTTCCAATATTGCATTTCTTTCTATTGCCTGTTAAAGTAAAGGTTTTTCATTCTATTAGGATGGCATAATTACCGTTAATGAATCAACACCTGCTTGAAGTGTATCCTGTAATGTTAAAAACCATTGAGTAGATTGGGATAAGAAAAGCTTATGCTTATGATTCAAGACCAGTCTCTTATTTTTGGTTCAAAATATTGTTTTACTATTACCAATTTGAATGAGTAATAATAAAATTCATGTGAGCTCTAAAAACAATAAATAACAAGGCTTCTTTTTCTCAAATTTTCCATTTTAAAAATTGATTTCATTTTGAAGTATGCAAATGTACAGATAGCATGCACTAATTATATTAGTGTATGATTACTTACTTGATTGAGTCGATGCTCGAAATCTTCTAACGAACAAACAGTTGCCCTGAAAACAGTGTAGCATACATTATGATAAACTCAGTGGCATATTGAAAGAATAAAAATGTAATAACCAATAGCATGGCTACCCTACATACATTGATGGTTTCAAACATGATTTCACCCACACTAGTTTTTTAATGTTTTGGTTGTTATCTACCACCAGTGAAGGAAGAAATAGGGAATTGATTTTACACATGTGTGCTAAAACTATAAAAAACAGTTATTTCACAACTACAAGGTAAAAGATAAAATCAATAAATGGCAGATGTATATTTTGAGATGGAATTAATTATCACTTTAAATTACTAGAATTTGTTCACCCTCATAACAAATTACAGCTAGCAACAAATTTTTATATCAGATACTTATTTAACACCTAATATATCTGTTAGCAATAGAAATGAGCATCAGACAAAGTCTTTCAAGTATGCATCAAGCTTCATTTTTATTTTCAAAAGTTTCAAGAGCTATTAAATCTATACATAATACAAGAAAAAAGAAACAACTTTARCAAAAGATGAAAGTTAGCAAAGCCTGTTTTAAGTGACTAAAATAAATGTTATACATTTTTAAAGGGTGCAGTGACCTATCTTGTGAAACAAGATACTGACTTTAGGAAATCTAAAGATTATTTTGAATATTTTGAAAAATAAAAATAAAGTTATAATTAATAATTCTTTGCCAAGAAAATTTATGCAAGAGAGAAAAATAAAGCAGCCTGTTGAAAATATATTTTGTGGATGAACAATGGTAAAATAGATCCACCTGTTGGCAGCACGTTCACTTGGATCACAAGATTCCATTGAATTAAGAGGCATTCAACRACATACTATAGAGTACCTGTTGGTGCTTACTGTGCCAACAATATAGCTGGCTGGTAAGAAACCATGATATACAGGTGCTACAATAGCCACAATAACAACCGTTGATAAAATATATATTCGTAAATGAAAACTATGTCTCGTGTTCAATTTGATCTAAGCTTTTTGATGTAATATTTCAACATCAAGAGAGAAAGTTTTAAAATACATTTTGGATTAATATGAACACAAGCTAGAAGAGAATTTTGTTTATATCTACAACAATTCAAACAATAATATAATCCAACAACAAAACTACAGACTGTCAGCATTAAAAATGTTCTAATTTGGCATCAAAAGTCTTAATACTTAAAGAGATTTTTGTGCAGTTTTTGGTGCATAATTATAGCTTCTGGTTGAGGTAATAAAAATACACATTGACACAAAAACTCAAATTAAATGCAATAGCCTAATTTGGTACTTCRTTGTACCCAATGAATCTTTCTTATCTTTGTAAAGATTTTTACTGCTTTATGAACACTCCTTTATCTTTTTATGTACATAACAACTACCATAAATCRACCATTTGACAGCTTTTATTCATAACTGGTAGCACAAGCTAGAGATAAGCCATTTATCACTTAGGATTCCTCTTTTTGTTATATCTATTGCTGTAAATATAAGTCACCATTCTGAGCAAGTGTTGTTCCAAATCTCCTTGACCATAGACCATGGCTTTAATTTGAAAAATGGAACTAGAGTGTTCACAAAGCAGAAGATTTGACGACATTCCAAACTTAATGGAGGGATTAATTACGACAATGGCTAACCAACCAACCATGCAAAGTTCTTTATTTTGACAGATAACTGCTTTTTTCAAATGTTTTCAAAAGAATTTTTCCATTATGTTGTTGGTTAACGTCCAACCAAAAATGCTTTGGACAAACATAATTATACAAATAATCTAAGCAAATGTAAAGTGTGAATATCATTGGAAATCAGAAAAATAGCATTAATCTTCTCTTAGAGAGAAAGTTCCCATGGTGGTCGTACAAGAGAAAGGAAGTAACTATAACAAAAAAATCCTTAATCTCAGGAAAGCTAGAGATTTGAAAAATGCTTAACTCTAGTAACGTAAACAGATGATCTCGTTAGCCAAATTTAAATGGTCAATAAAACATTCCCAAGAGGACGCATGTTTTTATTTTTTTTTAGCAAAATTGAATTATAAACAGCATGTCTGAAAGTAACAGTGCTTGGAATAACTATTTTAAAGGTATTGAGTCATAACTAAGGTACGGGAATATTATTCTAATAGTTGACAGTTTTACCGGTTATTCTTGGTACATAATTATATAAATTATCGTAATTTTACCACAGGATTGGATTATTTCTTTCTTCACCAACACCTACTTTAACTATTTCAAAAAAGTATTATATGACGCAAATCTAAATTTAATATTTTCCTATATATAACGATCAGTATCAATGAAAACGGTCAATCAATCCTACAAGAAAAATATTTTTAATTTTTACAATAACAAATCGTCCGCCATTACTAGACACGTCTTATAAATAAAGCCGAGAAAAAACAATTAATGGTTTTTTATCCTCTTAAAAATCACTTTCTAATTTAAACAAAAACAGATTTATAATTTGTGGGATATTGGGAATTTTAAGGAGTGCCTTGGGTATTTTTTTCTTACCTTTTTGCTCGTTCTAGATCGTCATTTGCTTGCTCGAGCTCGCGAACATATTTCTGTAGTTCTTCTTTCACTGCTCTCAGTTGTGCAGTCTCGTCTTGTAAAGCAGTCACTGTTAAATAAGCCTCATTCTGGCCAGCTTCCAGTTTTTCCTGTAATAATATCAAGCAAGGAGACTTATTTTTTAACGGAAAAGATAACGCCGGTTTAGTCGAAGTAAAATAACAGAGGAAAGCAAAATCTTTGACCTAAAATGAAAAATGTCAACGACTGGCTTTCATAAATATGTAATACAACAGAAAAGGCGTCGTAAACATTGCTTAAATCTTTTCTCAGGATACCTAGAAGTACAAGGATATGATTGAATTACCTTCATACTTTCATTTTCAGCTTCTAATCGAGCTTTTGCAGCTAATAATTCTCGTTGTCGAGCCTCAGCCTGCTCTAATTGTGCTTCGAGCTCTGCTTCAAGTTCTCTRCTGCCTTCCTGAAATTCATCGAGTTCTTCTCTCGCTTCTAACCACCTAAACAACCCAACAAAACACCCCAAATTTAGCCATCGTCAAGACACTTTGTTGTACAATAATACTTGGGCATGAAGACAGGCTGTAAATGTATTTAACACGTACTTTTGTTCATATTCCTGAGAAAGCCTTTTCCAGTAGGCAGCCTCTTCTTTAGGATCAGCGAACTCCAAGTCCTTGTCGCTCGCATTACTCATTCCCAATTGTCGCATATGGTCGACTATGAAGCCCAACACAGTCGTTCATTCAACCACTTGCCGAATAAATCTTTCTATTTCCGTTAACTGACAAATTTAGTATCGAAAACACCGGTTTTTCCCATCGATACAGTCGTAGTTTCGAAACAGCGTAAAGTCCAAAGCCGACGCATCAAAATGTAAACCGTCCCTTATGACGTCATGCGGGACCTGACCTCGGTGCATCCTGGGTAGGATCATCGACTGGGCTTTTCTAGACCCGTCTATTAAATATTATAAATTATAAAATAAATTAAATAGTACGCACGCTGTGATTGGTTGATAGCCATGTTTGCATGAGGRTATGTAAACACAGTTGTGACGTCACAACTTTCGTGTTTTCCYGGTACAAGTTCAAAAATTAAAAATGTACAGTTTCTTTCGAGGAAAAAAACGCCCCCAAAAATGTATTTTGAAGACGAAGTTCCAAATTTTGACTTGTGTCAGGGCCACAGGCATAACCCTATGGTCTCATGCAGGTCTTTCTGATCGTAATATCATAAAAATCTCTCGTTGGTCACCGCAAAGAGAATTCCCTCAGGAGCTACAACACACGTCCTTCGTCCTTCTCATGATTTAAATGCACCGCCCGATAAAGAATACAAGTGTTTCAAGGAAACAGTCAGCAGCTTCAAACTTTTTCCAGCGATAGCTCTTCAGCTCCACAAAATATCTTCTCGAGGCAAGACGAAACAATCAACTTCGCTGYCATGTTTTCTCGCTGTCAAATTGAGCAAAACCACGTTTCTTTCAACCGAGAATTCCAGTCACAGTGACACTTGTTATCCACTTTTGATCACTTTTGTAAAGATAATTAACTCTGAAATCTTTTATTAAGATTTCTATTCAATCTTTGGACATTTCTTTGTATTTGTTTTAAAGTTTTAGAATGATAAATGTTTAAAATAGCTAGCGATTCTTTCTCGCTTCACATTTGCCTCCTTGGCGTTTATTACACGAAATTCGATAGGCTAACGATCGAAGTTCGTGATGTATGGAGAATTTGTATTTTGATATAAGAATCAAAGATTTATTTTCTTGCAAGTGGTAATGTTTTTCCTTATTATTTATTTTATAAAAGCAATAGAAAACTTTATTCTCTGTGTTTACATAGCCTGATAGCAACACTCGGGGGGTTGGGAGAATTCTCGACAGTTATGCAAACCCTCGACTACGTCTCGGGTTTGCATAACTGTCTCGAATTCTCCCAACCTCCCATCGTGTTGCTATCAGGCTATGTAAACACGGAAAAAGTTTTCTATTGCTTAAATATTATATACGGAGTATCATGTAACATTTTTAGGGCATTTATGGACTTGACATTAATACAAAAGCGTTTTGTAATGGTTTTGATAAAAATATTCCCTAAGTTTCGTTCAGACGAGTTTAAAAAAAAACAAAACGTTCACCATCTCGCCGTGCCTTGAGCACAATGTATAAGTGTTCCACTCCTAGAAATGCGAAACGAATTGGGCAGATCATTTTGATTGTGGCATTTGCTAATGGAAATATTTCAAAGTAATATTTGTCTATTAATTATGTCTTTTTTATTACGACATGAGTAGCCGAGGTTTTCAAAAAAAGCCGAGGTCGGTCATCAAAAACTTCGTAATCAGTTAAAAAGACCTTCATTTGAACACTTTTCCTTAAAATGTGCCGAATCCCATTCTTTCGTTTACTCTTCACTGACTGTTTTTCTTAGAATATGATGTCAAAATCATTAATTTTTTATCAACTTTGTTAGAAAATCCGGTTTTTAAATACGGAAAAGTGGTTACAGCAAGATTGGTCAGCTTCCTCCTGAAGTCAGACACTTATGACATAATGAATCATTACGGTGTGATTGTGCTCATCCGGATATGAAGAGAAGTGACATGTCACGTGAAGTCAGCAATAGTCAAAAGAAGTACTTTGAATGTGTATTTAGGACAGTATATCTTTGATATATATTTTAATTTTAGTATATTTGTCTTGTATCAGTCTCTAAATCTTAACCAAACGATTCTGTACACGACTGATAAGGAATCGATGGTGAGCAGTGATTCGACTGAAGTCACGGATGATCGTAACACGACTCGATGACTGAACACGCAATGGCCATTTGATATGAATTTGAAATCCCAAGAATTCGAAGATGATGATTATCTTAGTAAAGCACTTTAAATACATATTCAGTTGTGACAGCAGACGGATCCCAGCAGACAAGACGTTGCGTGACCTTTGCGTAGTGACGTCAAAAGCTCCTACGTGGCGACTGAGTCTGATAAAGACCACAGCTTTGTTCATTTGTACCACAGAAAAACCGCAATTGAGTATCAACGTAACTACTATGGCATTTTTTCAGCGTGTGTAGTTTCTCATTGACTTAAACTTCAAAAGTACACATTGAACTGCGCGCGATGGACGTAATAAAGACCACGTTTTTTATTTAGCTTTTTGTAATCACAAGAAACATTGCTGAACCAACACCCCACCCACACCACCTACAGTGTGCTACAATGGCACCTTGGTTTGTGCATCTTGCTTGATACACCTTCGCCACTGCTACTTACCTAAGCATTAGACCACAGGTAACCCATACATTATCACTCTAAAAGTATGTGAAACATTTTATTTGCCACAAATCAGTCTTGAGAGCAATACGAAAAACGAAATAGTGAAAAATCGGGAAATCAATGTGCGGAAATTTGTTATAGAAGTGTCCGCTAAGATAAAAATATGMCAACGAAATAAAAGTTGTATTAACAAGTTTTACATCAAGTCCTTGAAACTGATTCTTTTTGGTGTTCTGTCATGTTCAAACGAACGTACGCAGGCAGGATCAGGTCGTGGTCTTAGCAACCATCAGGAAGTATTCCCTGTAGAATGGGTACTTTGGTCCTGGTGGGATATTACTCAAATCCACCTCTAGTGGAGTAATATCAAAGGTCTTGCCAAACAGACTTCTCAGAAGTGGTTCAGGGACATGGGTGGGATGGCTGTCCTTCCCTGGGTCTTCTGGGAAGACGTTGTTTTCGATCATTATACATCCACTTGGACGGAGTAGAGACAGTAGTTTATCAGCATATCGGCTGCCACGGTCGTCTACGTGCAATCCAATAGCTGATAATGAGCCCCTGTCCCAAATAGCGTCAAACGTTCCTCCTAAGATGATGGGAGTCACTTTAAACACATCCATTCGATAGATTGAGATATCCTTGCTCTTGTCAAGCGATGAATAATACTTGATGCCATCGGGATCTAAGGTTTTCACATCGTAGGATACACTATTTTCCTTGAAAAACTCTAGAATTGCTTCTTCAACTGCTTCGAGCCCAACTACTTGAAATCCCTTCTCGGCCAACCAAATCATATCCACCGTCTTTCCACACAAGGGTACAAAGATTCTTGCCTTGGCCGAAGGGGTCTTCTCTTTAGGCAGTAGTTTTTTATAATGCTGCTCCAAGCAAGGTTGTACGTAGTTTATATGCCATGGGGTGTGCCCTTCAGCCCAATTTTCACCCCATTCGCTATCAAAGTCGGTATGGCTCGYCATGTTGCTAATCAAATAATCAAATAATTATCAAACATAGGGAGCCCAACTCGAGAAGTAGGACAACGTTACCAAAATGATTTTAGATTTCTCATAAACAAATTGAGGGTCGTATTTAATTTTAAAATCAATTACTTTGCTATTTATTATTGTAAAAGACTTGTTTTTATTTCTTTCGTTTTGATGAGATCCGTTTTGATTACATTTTTGGGGTTTTTGGGCTACCTTTAACCACAGGGAACCCAAAGCGCCCTTCAAGAAATTTGCAACCAAATTCAAAAAGAAGTTTTGACTCAATGATTTGTTTTCAACCTCATTAGATTATACACTCTATTGTATCGATCATTCTTAGGAATAATACTTTGATCGACCTCCAGTGGGGTAATATCGAAATTCTTTCCAAACAAATCCTTCAAGACAGAAGCTGGAACATGACTTGGAGGTCCACCATTTGGCCCTGGGTCGTTGAACCAGACATGGTTTTCAATCATTATACACCCACTTGGACGGAGTAGAGACGACAAAATGTCAGCATATCGGCTGCCACGGTTTTCTACGTACAATCCAATAGCTGATAATGAGCCCCTGTCCCAAATAGCGTCAAGAGTTCCTCCTAAGATGATGGGAGTCACTTTAAACACATCCATCCGATAGATTGAGATATCCTTGCTCTTGTCAAGCGATGAATAACACTTGATGCCATCGGGATCTAAGGTTTTCACATCGTAGGCTACATTATTTTCCTTGAAGAATTCCAGAATTGCCTCTTCGACGCCTTCAAGGCCAACAACTTGGCAACCTTTCTCAGCAAGCCACAACATGTCTAAACTCTTTCCACACAGAGGTACAAAGATACGAGCCTTGGTTTGTTCGCCGTCATTTTTTGGTAGCAGCTTCTGATAATGTTGCTCCAGACATGGTTGAATGAAGCTCTTGTGCCAAGAAGCGTCATTACTAGCCCATCGTTTAGACCAATATTCGACATTTATTATGTCGCAACGATCTGCCATGTTTCTCTCTCATGGAATCAGTGACTGTTACATAATACAGGGACATCAGTACCACAGGAAGCCCACTTTCTTACACCTCATCTGCCGTGTCGTGTGACAATTAAATCAGTTAGCAGAAACTGTTTTGAGAGGAAAATCAAGTGCGGTACCCTTGCCTCTCTCCTATGGGGTCTCAGGCTTGATTCTTGCCATGAGATGTAAGTAGAGTTTCTTGTGTTTTCCAGGTTTTCCTCCCTCCTTAAGACTAACACAATGAGTCAGCCATGAACATTAATAATCTAGTTCATACAAGATATTGGTTCAACATTTATTCAATTCTGTACAATGCAGTAACAACAAGAAAAGAGGAAGTTTTTATTTCATCTTCCATCTCTTTCTTTTCTTCTCTCCATTTTAAGCAACTTGGCACATCGAATAATTAAATCATGAAGAAAAGAGCAAAATAAAAAGAAACAAATGAAGCGTTCAGTAAATTAATTTTGTGTAAAACCTTAGTTTTACATCAGTTTGAAAGAACCAAAAGTAACAGACAAGGAACTATGTATGTATCAAACAATGCTAGGCAACCAAATTGTATACTGCCTAGTTTTTATAATATTAAAAAAACACAGCTCCCATCATGACAGAAATGTCTTCTAAAAACCATATTAAGCACAGCCATATTTGAAAGATTTGTATCTGTTTCCTCCAGTCTGCAAGTCCAAGGCTTCTCCTGTTTCACTTGCACCAAACATTAATTCATATAGGTGTCAGCTGGACTTAAAATAACAGCATGACATTGGACAACGTCCCATCAGAACTGGGGCTTGCCCAGTCAAATCTTTACCTTGCTGGTCATCTTGGCCAGTAATGTGAGCCAGAAGTGATGTATGACTAAGATAAACTAATTTGGCATGTGATCATGACCAGTGACTGAACGGCTGTTATTTTAAGCCCTGTGTAAAGGTTATAGACAGATGACAAAATATATCTGGAGTTGTCTGGATAGAACTATCATGAATAGCATGCAGAAACAAATTCTGACAGAATCAGCTAAACTGTCAATGCTACTACAATAGAGTGAAGTCATTTAACCCATGAAAAAAATATACTAGCCAATGTGTAATAGTCAAATAGACAAAAGAAAACAATGGAATTAGTGTCTACTAATGTGTATTAATCTAATATCTATTTCATGGGTTTAATGACTTCACACTAACAAGTGCACTATACAAGGGCACATAGTGCGATTAACAATGGTACTTGGTAAAAACAAAAGAATTGCAAGGAAATGCCAATAACACGATCTACACTGTCATTGCTATCATATTGACAAGATTTATCGATAACTAGGATTATCAATAAAATATCTTCTTATGGTATTCCTCAGGACTGTAGTATGATGTAACTACTACTCTGTTGGCAAACTTCCTTCCTCCAAGGGCTTGTGAAGCAGCTGCAGCATCATCTATAGATGCAAACTCTACGAAGATCTGTCATAAAACAAAGCAAAATTATTTTCCTAGAAGTATTATTAATATCTCATTATGAGTTTGATGATTTATATTGAATAGTCACATTGCTATATGTGCTCTGATTGGTAGAGAATTGTGCTCTATTAGTGACCAGAGCATATAGCTGATATTATTAGTGCACACTGCCAGCCTGCTTTGCAAAGAAGTGTAAGAAAACGACATTGAATCCTACATGTAGAATACATTTTTCTCTCTACATAATAAGACAAGTAAAACAGCTTTTTCTTGGGAAGTGTTTAAAGAACTTAAGAAGTTCTAGAAGAGCTTGCTTATGAAACCTGCCTCTCTTCACACTTCTTCTTCTGCATGCTGTATTACTGAATGGTGTACAGAAAAAAATGTTTTATTTGTGAAGCCAAAGTGCTACCATACCTTGCCACAACCTGGAGGCTCTTCTCCTTCTACTGGTCTGGGTATCTCCATGCTTACAACACGGCCATACTTGCTACACTCTTCTCTTACGTCATCAAAGATTTCTGAAAATATAAAATATCTATCATTTGTTTCACTGCTCATGAAAGTTTATCAACTACTCTATAGTTCAATGACAATTTACTTGAGATCCCTTATATTATTTCATATTTTATACCAAAGAGTTTTTTAAATATTGAAGTACATATGGCAGATTTTGCAAGTGCATCATCATCATCATCAACTATCATCACAACCATAATCATCATCAATCATCTTCATCAATCATTACCATCATCATCATCACTTAACATGATCACCATCATATTATATAATCACTATCAGCATAATAATTATCACCTCCATCATGACCACCCATCATAATCTTTGCTGACAACATCATCATCATCATCAACATGATCTCCATCATCATTGCTATCAGCATCAACACTGTCCTGCTGTCCAATCATAGATTATTTCAACACAGAAAGTTGCATAGATTATTTCAACACAGAAAGTTGCATAAAGTACCTACCTACTTATATATACACTACTTTAATATATAACAACCAGTACATAGTCATACCTTCAAATTCTTCATCATCACAGAGTTCTTCTGGGGTGACCATGTTCATCAGTTGAATAACCTCTGTCATCTGGTGTCCAATTTGAGTTGCTGCATTAATGTCAAGCCCTGGAATCTGGAACTGAGCTGGAAGCATGTTGATGGCTTGAGGCTAGAAATAATAAATAAATAAATAAATAAATAAATAAATAAATAACTGCCTTTATTTAACAACGGTAACACAACTGATGACCCAGTGCCCCTTAAATATTAAAAATTGAATAAATGCATACATAAATTATAGGAAAAAAAGGAAATAAATAAATAGAAAAAAAAAGAATAAACAATACCAATATAAAAGTGAATCTATATAAATATACAATATATGAAAATATTTTTTAATCATTATAAAACAACATACTAAATTCCAATTTCGTTTATGACCCTGATAAAGATCAGCCCAGAGGTTGCTTTAGGGTATTGATAAAACTTGTACAGCTGTAGGTTCTCAAGGATACACTACTAATGGACTATGTTTGATAGCCCAGGACACATGACAAGTACTACTTACATTGTTGATGTTCTGTTTGGCACCTACACTTGCTCTCTGTACAATCAACTTCTTTTCTCCTAGTTGCATTCCATTCAGTCCTTGAATAGCCTTATGAATAAGTAAAATAAAATTTGGCATTAGCCGCAACCTTCCAGTGCAGTATATAACTTCAGGCATGTTGATTTTTAGAATCAGATTTAGTCAATACAATTTCGGAGTGGGGGAGGGGGCAATAGGGATGGAATTCCTAGGACCAGGGGCCTCAAAAGATTTTAGAATTACCAAAGGCAAGGGTGGGGAAAAAAAGAATTCACCCATGTTAGGGGTATGGATATTTTCCAATCTCATACCCAGAGCATGTGTTTCTTCTGGCCTGCGCCGAAGAACGAGGGCTCTTGCATAATTCATTTCTTTGAGACCAGGATTTCTTGGACTTCCAGTATGAGAGTGCATATGTTAAAAGGACTTGCCAAAAATAAAAATAAAAATGTTCCCAATTTCTATTTTTATTTTGATCAGAAGTAAACACAGAACTCTGTTTAAAGGCATGATTTTCATTTATTACATCTCAATTCCGGAAACCTGCGCAAGCGGTTCTTCATCTCAGGCCAGAAGAAACGCAGGCTCTGGGTACAAGATTGGATATTTTCTAGAACTACCCTATAATATGTTGTTGTTAATGGAAAATCCTTCATTTTGACAAAAAATAATAGAAAATACTTTGAAATTTTCAGTGACAACAATGCATTGCATGCCAAGTCTAAATCACCTAGTTTGTATTTGGTTTTGTAAATTTTGCCAAAGTGATTATTGTGTACTTACAACATCTGTTATTCCAATCTCCACGTATTCACAGAATGCATAGCCCTTAGATAATCCTGTAGCACTGTCTTTAACAAGGTTAAATGCTCGGAGGTCACCAAATGATGCCAATAACTCTTTGACCTACAGATCATGAAAAGAAAAGAAAAAATCAAAAAACTATATTGAGTGAATATCAAGATCTTAACAACTTGTTTACAAATGATTCACACTAAAGAAAGCCTGAGGTTGTTGACTATTCATGTTGGTAAAAAAACCTGAAGTAGAACGAAATGCCAAGTAATTTTCTCATTAATAAAAGATGCCTTGCCTACTTAGGAAGAAATTCATTCATTTTGTTTTTGAATTATTTTCAAATTTGTTTTTATGAAGACATCATTCTCAACAACCTCAGACTTCAAGTGAGAATCATATCAAACAGAATCCCAGATGCTCATTTCTGTTTTTTTCCATTCTTTTTCCATTTTCATTTTAATGTTGCTTCATTGGGACTCTGTTCAATAGAGTGCTTGGATTTTTTATTGCACATCTACCATAAATGACCTCTAGCTCTGTTTGTAGAAGATTTATTTCTACATCTCTCTCCCAGCACATGTTGCCCACATACAACTTGCCTTCAGCCAGTTTTGCTGAACATTTTAAGCCCCCAGAGCTAGCTAGGGTAGAATAGGGAAGAAAAAAACATCCCATGTCAGTCTCGTTTTATTGATATACTCAATGATCAGGGCTGAAGGGTACTACTATAAGGATTGCTGGGTAGTGTACTTGATTGGAGTAAACAATTACTGGCAAACCACTGCTTTATATGGGTTAGATTCCTTATTACACAAAGTAAATAAGCTTGAGACACTTTGCCAGTTTCCCGCTCACAATCAAGAGCCACAAGAGTTTCAAGAGGGTAGAATGGACATCTAATGTAATGTTTTCCCATATCGGACCAAGTGTCATTTACTGAGAATGGAAGTTTTTGTTTCAGTTGTATCCATATCAATGAATGTACTTAACCCTCAAATAAACAAACATTACTCAAGTGAATGATAAGTGGTCTGAAGAGATAAAATATTATCTCCAAAGTAAATGGGTTGTGGCTCCCTAAAATCATTAATGAATTTAACAAATAGACATCAGTTTTTTTTGTCTGTCCTCTTATTGATGATAGATTGCGTCATCACATTGTCCACGTAGTGTGGAATCACAAGGCGTAGCCGAGTAGATCCACATACTACTTTGACAATGAAATGATGAAATTTATTGTCAATAAGAGGACAGACACATAAAAAAACTGATATCTATTTGTTTTTTTACAATAACAAAAAGGATAAAAACTTCTCATTTTTAGCGATCAAAACAACCAACGAAAAGCACGCGCTCGTTGAGTCAGCTTTATCTGTCTGTCCTCTTATTGATGATAAAAAATAACCAATCAGTGCATGAGAAATTTGTATTGTATTATAAGTTATTGTAAAAATGAGATTAACCATGTTGAAGCACACTTACCATTCCTTACAAATAACAAAGATATCATAATCCGCCTATTTCCAAGCTGTGCTTTGCATGTCACACACAAAAGTTTTAATGCGAGGCTCTGTGCATAATGCTTAGTGATTCACGACAGGAGTAAATAACTAATTTAATTTAGCACATAGCCCTGTATTGAAACCTTTGAGTCTGACAAGCACAGCATTAGACTATTGATATTAATAATGAATCATAGACTTAAGGATCCAAATATGACCTCCAGATATTAGTATCTAAACTGACAACATCAAACAAGAGATTCTTGGGCTTCAATTTGATACAAATTAATTAACTGAAAGCCATATTTGAATAAGTATCTTATAGATAATAAATATATTTCTTAACTATTTCAGTACACAAATCTTTGTCATAAAAAATTAACAAAGATTTACCAAAGCCAATTATAGAAAAAGCTACTGAGAAGTGAATGATAGTTAAAAATTAATGTTAATGTATGTCTATTTAAGGGGAAAAAACAAGTTTCATGGAGAGAATATTGCTCATGGTTGCCAAAGCACTTCAGATCTGTAAATTAACCTAGACGTGAAACCTAAATTGAAAAAAAAAATGAAGGAATGCGACTTTGCTCGTCAGACCTGAAACTAAAAGCTGAAAAAAATGCTGCCGAAAGAAAAAAAGCCTCAATTAGTTCAATTTCTTTTTGCCAATGAATTCGTATTAAACACAGAGAATGAAATAACGTGGAAATTTATTACCATAACCACTTGTCTTGTCGTTGAACCTGCAAAATGAATCCTACTAGAAAGAACCGCTGCCGATCCAAAATCACTAGTCACTTGTCATAAAAATTGCTTTCCGATTAACTGAATTGGCTTCCAAAAATTCTCAAAGAGAGGGTCGGAATGCGAAAGGCAAGGTTTTAAAAATGAATTATTCTTTTTAAATTTTGCTTTCTTTTTTTTCTTTTTTCCATTTTTTTTGTATACCAGTTACAATTGAAAGGCTAAAATAGTATTGCTTAATGAAAAATTTAACTTTGATCAGAATCACTAAAATAAAGTTGTATTCAAGCTAATATATACATAAAGATATATAAATTTTTTACCAGAATCTTAACTTTTTGTTAGATACTTTATCAAAAATTCTGTAGCAAAAATCTACTCTTAAAGAGCTGCTCTGATAATAAATTGTTCTCATCCATTGTTTTTTATCAGTAGCATTCTATTGCATACTGCATTATTACCTGATCTTCATTGAGATAGTTAGGTAAACCACCAATAAATATCTTGTGGGCTGAATCAGGCACAACTGTTGATACAACACCTGGTGGGGAAACGAAGGAAACCAATTTGAGTTGGACAAAAAACAAAAAATTCTGTGAGACTTTATACAGACTTCATAAGTCAGCATTCTAAAAAACTCTCTACAGAGGATTTGCAGCATCACATGATGGCAGCCATGTCAGGAGGCAGGAACAATTGAATCTGGTCTTATCTGATTTACATGAGAAAGAATTCAGTTTCCCAGGGGGGGGGGGGGGGAGAATCTATTGTTATGCCCCCTGTCATGGCTGCCATCGCATGATGGTGCAAAGCCTCTGTTGGTCCTATTAGCCATTCCTTGGACTGTTATAGTAGAGGAAGTTGATGTCGTCTTGGAAATATGTCCCCTAAAACAGTCCCACRATGCACTGCAATGCCAAGTCCACCCAGTTTTCCTCAACCATGGAATGGCTAATCAGCACAAGGGATTATCATTTGAAATATTATCAGTGTGTGCACTATATTCTGGTTTTTGCATCATGAGGCACCTACAAATAAAGAACCACTGAGCACCCTAAAAGGGGTGGGGGCTGAGATTGGAAAATATAAGAGACTAATATGCAAAAAGAAAAAAAGGTGGGGCTATAACCACTTCTCCCCATTCCTGCAAATGTAAAATTCTAATAAATTTCTTACCTGGAACATGAACTGAAGCAGTTTCTGAAGGAAAAAATATGAGTTTACCTCCATTAATCATATAACTTAATGAATTAATAATTAATAAATTATATAAAATATAATTTTTATATACCAGTTTCATGCTTGGTTACATCTTTATTGTTTTATTACGCAGAAATAATGGTATTACTTAGGTCTAAGATTAATAGTGACTGGTCAACAGACAACTGAAAGAAATAGACATTTGTCTGCCCAAATGCCTCACGCTTGACTGGTCACATGACATCATCATCATGTCTGGGAATTGTCAGTCAATAATTGCACTAGATATCGGCATATAACATCTCCATATGTATTGTGGAACAAGATAGATTGAGAATAACATACCTGACATTCCTGGAATAGGCTGATAGTCTTTTGGTCTTCTTATTTTCAAGGCTTGACCCTACAAACATCATAATTTAGTTAATTCAATCTTCTTTAAGATAAAATGCAGACAAGCAAAGAGAGTTGGTGATCCTATAAACTGTGACATTCTTTTCAACTCTCTCTCTCTCTTTCTCAGGATACGCACAAGCACATAACATTAAACTATTTACAGCATAAAGATGTAAACAAGTACCTGTAAAATGATGCCATCAAATGCCATTGCTTGGGTGGTTTCCTCCACAGAACGAAGCTATAATCAACATAATTTAAATGATAATATATTACCAAATACTGTCATGTTTCTACATACAAACATACATGACATGAAAGCAAAAAATAAATGGATAAGAGACAAAGAATCAGACATACTCTAACTATCATAACCTATTACAACTATTTACTCATAAAAAATAGTGATTAAAGGATGGATATCTTGACATACCTCAATGAAAGCAAAGTTCTGTTCTGTGTTGATCTGTGCAGCAATAACTGGATTCCCTGGTGCTGTATTTAGTTTGGCTTCATGCATTTTAGCATTAAAGAATTCTATCATCAAGTTCTGAAACCAACAATCAAAACCAGATTTAGAACAGCCATTTTTACTACTTATGTCATTCCTAAGCATTGGTGGAGTAAAAAAGTTGCTACATACATTCCATGACTTAAAACAACAGCTGGTCAGTCACAAATCAAAATGGCTGGCCAAATTGGCTGGTCTTAATTTGGTCATACCTTGTTCCTGGATCAACGTTACTGGTCAAAATGACCTGTATCGCAAACATTTGACCAGACAAGTTCCAATCATGGCCAGATTTTTGTCTGATCATCGCCATTATTTTAAGCCTTGTATTCATGGGTAAAATACAACCATCTATTAAATAAATTACTATAGTACGCCTCCCATGTGGCTTTAGATGCTCTGAATATTATTTAATTGACAGTAGTCTATTGTCAATTAACCTGTCATAAATCATCATGACATTTGAGCAGTGAAAGTGAGAGAGATCACTTGATAGTTTGCATTACCTGAAGCTCCTTTTGGACAGAAGTGGAGGGACATAGAAAGAAAAGAAAAGAAATATTATTAATGTCATACATCATTCCTGAATATAACTTAAAGGTAAAGTATGGCTGGTATCATGCATCTCCTCTCTCCATCAGTACTCTCACTCAAATTAAAGTAAAAACTGCTTAGTATTTACCTCTGTTATTCCAAATGGAATATTGCCGACATACAGACGTCTGGCTTGTCGAGTCATTTGACTGTGTGGAAGACTAGCTAACGTAGCAGCTGTGATTGCTGCCTGGGCAGGTGTTGGTGCTGGTATACCTGGCACAGCAGCACTAGGTATTGGTACAGTGCCAGGAACAGTTGGTGCCATGGGGATAGCTCCAGATGCTATAAGAAATAAAAATGTGCATATCAAGTAAAAGTCGGTGGAAGTTTTTAGTCGATACCCTAAAGCAACATTCTCAACAGGAAAATGGGACATTACACTGCTGTCAGTCAGAGCATGTAAATGTACCTAACAATTTATTTAATTGGCACTAGTCTATTGTATGATTTTCCTGCACGGCTGTTGTCTTGATCAAAACATAGCAATGAAAACAGTGGTAAGTTCAGGACATGACTGAGCCGCAGATTGAATTGGAAATGTTGATGTGCTAAGTTTTGTAGCCACAGGGAGCTTCTTTTAGAAAATTAACTTTGCTCTTTGTGGGTTTCCTGTGTTGTGATCGGTTTCCTATTACGTAAGATATAATCAGATCTGCGCTGTGATCAGATCGGCGCTGTAAACTGATAGCCAATTAAATTCAAATTATAACTGTTGGTAACGCACTCTCTAGTAAACACTAAAAAGAGGAGAAGTTCTGCAACAAAGCAACTTTTATCATATGATCATCACCTCCAGTTGCTCGGATAAGCTGCCCAGAGGTGAAGGGCATGTGCTATTCAACCCTTGATTCCCAAAGCAAGAAAATTTCCCCAAACTATACACAATAATAATAGAATACTTTTCCCTAACCTCTCATTTGTTTGTACTCCATCGGTGTCACATTCTCAAATCCCACTGGAGGAATATCCCATAACGTCTCTCGTTTTCTTTTTTCAATATTTGTATCTCTTTTTGGTGATGGTGATCTATGACAACAATGTCAAAGCATTAGTTAAGTATTGCTAAGCATGCTGAATATCTTTCATAACAAACAAACAATATTGATGAGGATTGGCGGGGGGGNGGGGGGGGGGGTTAGGGGGTGTAATCATAGCCTACAACATAGCTGTCTCCCAATTGAAGGGTTTACTGCAGTTCAACATGCAAACCCAGTAAAGGGTTTATTTTTAATTTAATGTCAGTATTCTTTTAGCTAGTAGCTTGTCTTTCAGAAAACAGCAGTGCACACTTTACTCCCTTACTCTATTGGTACTCGGTAGTATGAGTATTAGCTGAAACTACACAGATCAGAGAGAATTCAAAGAAAACATGTGTTGATCCTGAGGATCGAGGCATGGACCTCTAGCTATGAATTCAGTGTACTAACCAACAGAGATAGGACTGCTCCACTTTTTTTTTCATTATTTATTTGAAGTAGTTCTTTACTAACCTGTGTCTATCTCTTCTAGGCCTTTCTCTACCTCTATCTCTATCTGAAGGGTGCCTTCGATCATTTCTATCCCTGCTTCGACTCCTGGACCGATCTCTCCTCCTTCGTTCACCACGATCCCTATCACGATCTCTGTCACGGTCCCTATCTCGATCTCTGTCACGATCTCTTCCTCTATCACGATCCCGATCACGGTCTCTTGGTCTGTCCCTGCCACCTTCTGTAATAAACATGCAATAATTGTAATTCTCATTTATAATGTAAGTATCATATGGCATGCTTACACCTAATAGTCCCTTTCACAGTTCCCTGCTCCATCTTTAAAGGTAGCTGTCCCTTTGCATCAAAGCAAGACGAACAGTGAATTTGTAATGATATATGGATAATTGTTCAAGGTGTTAAAAAAGGTCTCTATCATTGCAAGCTCATCATTCATCTCGCTTCGATGCAAAGGCATGGCTACCTCTCAAGATGGCACAGGGAACTGTGAAGGGGACTATTAGAAGTTGTCAAATTGAATTAGCAAAATACTAAAATACCAAATGGCAATTAGTTTTCTTGATATGAATAAAAATGAAAACATCTCATCAAAAAATTGCTCTGGGGAGCTTTTATCTTACGATTTATTTTTCTCTACACACAACACAAGATACAGTAAAGCAATGAAAAAGTTAAATCAACTTTTATAAAATAATAGATAATTAGATTATTAATAAAGAAAAAACATATAAATGTGTGTTTGGTGACCCAAGTAGTGGAAACTTTCGAGTTGGTCGCTAAGGAGTAAGTACTGGACGCTGAACAATAAACTGCAGGAATAAAGTTTATTTCTGATTTGCTTTCTCGCAATTAATTAGGTGTATCTCTGAGATTGACATGGAATATTACACAATCTCAAATACATCAGCATCTAAATAATTCACTACTTTAACATCTTATGTAGCTTATTTAACAAATAAATTAGTAAATTTGGATGAAATTATCTTAGTAACTCGACGTCAAAGAGAGAGTATTTCTGTTCTTACCGAAGCTGTCTTCGCGCCCTCGTCCTTCTCGCCCGTTTTCTACGTCTTTTCTCAAGCTGCTTATCGTAGCACTGATATCATCTTCTTCCTTCATTTTTGGGCTTTCAAATGAAGTCATGTTTGTCGTAATAGTATATCAATAAAGCTAAAGAATGATAAAGTTTGACAAACGACTAAAGACTGAATGCATTCAACATGGACGCCATGAGGGATACTCGTGCAGGATGACATCAGACCGAGGCTATAACACAGGAAACCCAGAGGTGTTTTGTTGATTTTGTGCAAGTAGGTTTGGATAGATCCGAAATATCTTGAAATATTGATCCGAGCTAAGTTTTTTGAGAGCGTTCACTTTATAAACCACCATGAACATACCAAAAAAACACACATAGTCTAACCAAAACCGGGTGCCAAAATATCTAAAGGTTTGAGAAGTAGTAGTGACTGCAATAAACAAACAAGACGCCCTACAGACGTTCACTGGGTTGTCTGTATCATGTGCAGAGGCCTCGTTGCAATGTTAGTCAAAAGATGGTTCACAGAAAAGAGTGATTTCGTTTAACTTGTCTAAGACGATCTTCCCCCTTAAGGTTTCTCTACGTGATATTAAAATAATTGCAGGTTCTGCCCATTTTTAGGCCACAAAACTGAACAGTTTTGCGTTATGCATGTCAAACTACTTGTGAATTTGATTTTGCGCCATGACGCAACAAAATCAAAAATTCCAATGCTCTCTGTCAGAATCACCAAAATAGTGCAATAGTACCCAGAAGTCTTCACGACACCACTGGCACTAGTCCTTTGCGGGCATATGATGATCCAAGTGCAGTAAATATTCTTGTCAGTAAGCTTTCTCAGGAAAGATAGGAAAGCATAGGTCTACTTTTCGCAGATCGATATGGCTTGTCGACTGACAACGTCTGATCGAACTTATACAGGCTTATAAGCAACCGAACAGGAATAGATATTTTTTCACTATAAAGATTGCCTTATCGTTGAAAATTTAAATCTAATAAAAAATGGATTAAAAAAAAAAGAAAAAAATTTGATGTGGAAAGACGGGATTCGAACCCACCCAAAAAATTTTAAAAATCGATCCCACTTTGCCATACCCCCGAGACATCCGCAGAGCTGAGGCGGCGTATGGACTTCGGACCTGACGGCGATTAAATCCTTCTGCCCTTGGGTGTACGAATTACGCAAGAAAATGTTCTAGCCGAAGCATCAGGGGAGAGACCA